TGCTGATCTCCATTCATCAACACAGCTCATAAGCGAGCCACCAGAAGCTCCCATGTGGATTGACCTCAAGTCTTGACTCAATCCTCCATAGTTCAACAAACTCATGTTGTTGTCTGTTTTTGTATTATTTGTGAGATCGCCGAGATGATTGTAAGTAGGATTCATTAGCCTCGCTGGAGACAAAATCTGGCTTAAGATACTTTCTTGGTTTCCTCCGTAGTGGGAGGAGAGAATCGAGCTGATGGTGGATGCATTCCCGGAGGAGAAGCTGGTGTTGTTGCTTGTCGCAGTGCTGTTATTGTTGTTGTTGCTGCTGCTTTTAGTACGCCTGTTTCTCCGGCAGCCACCACCAACAGGGACGTTGCGGAGGGCACCGCCACGTGTCCAGTATCTCCGGCAGGTCTTGCAGAAGTGGCGTGGCTGAGTGAGGCTGTAGTTGTTGAAGTAGCAGAACTTGGTGTTGGTGGATTCACATCTTGGACATTTCAGTGCTGCTTCTGGCAAGGCTACGTTTGCTTGTCTTGCTCTGTCCACCATTGATCCTGCTCGGATCGAGCCACCGCCGCTTCCACCTCCACCTACGCTCCCATTAGGATTCGGCTGCTGTTGTGGCTGCAGCTGAGGACGAAGAACATGACCTCCGGTTTCTGGGGCTCCTACGCCGTCCTGATTATAATTGCTTGGAGGAGCCTATATATAAAGTTACAAAAAAAAAAAAAAAAAAGGATCAGGAATTATTGAAATTAAACAAGAATATTCAAGAACATGTTAAGCAAGAAGAACTTTTTGTGTCTTTTCTTTTTCTTGCTTTGAATTATTATTAGTACTCTTTTTGAATTTGATTCAAAAATTGGATCATGCTAATTGCAAAGGAAGAAGTTTTTTTTTTTGTGCCACCTGTTTTTCTTGCTTTGAATTAAGATTTCTCTTTTTGAGTTTGATTACAAATTTAGAACATGTAATTGCTAACCAAGAAGAATGTTTGTGTGTGAAGTGTATATATGGAATAGTAAAGCACTAACCTGTTGCCAGTTAGATGAATCAAGATAAGCTTGGATGGAGGAGAAAACCATGGTTATTCTCTTTTGATTTTATTCTTCAAAATTCTTAAAGTAAAGATTTTTCTTTTTCTTTTTGCGTGGTGGTTGATGGATAAATAGAATAGAGGAATCAGATCAAAGAGAAAACAAAGCCGAGAGAGAATGAGAATGAAAGGAGAGAGAGGGCGAGTGTGAGAATGAAGATGGCTAAAATTTAAAGTGGATGGACCTTTATATATATATCTATGTCCATATATATATATGTATGTGTGTATACAATAATTTTGTATGGAGATATATTATAAGAAGATAATTGTCATCTATGTAATTATTAGGGTTTGTGTTCCATATGGGGTGGGACTGACATGATTCTTTTTGTTTTCTTGCTTTAGTTAGGGTTTAAATTTCTTATCACTAGTTTCATATATATACATGTATATTTTCTTAGTACATAAGGTTTTATCTTGTGCGCTTCATAGGTTCACACATTTAGACCGAGATTTATAGATCAAATCAACAAACACTCAGCTTAGTACATCCGTTTCTTAATTATTTATGTTGTTGTACAACTTTACTGTTGTTTCACAAATATTTTTTTTTAGTATTTTAAATACATATTTTCATACACGAATTTAGTTTCATCTCTATCATGAATCATTATAAAAAAATAGAATAATTAAATTATTACATAATTATTTATGTAAAAAATTGTTTTTGACAGTATTATATATACTCT